AGTAGGAAAAACTGAGGAAGAACCAAAATAGAGACCTGCAGTCAGGTGTTTCAAGAGAAGACATTTGAGGATAGGTTAGTAGGGGAGGAAGTTCTAGCAGGAAGAAAATGAGAGTTTTGAAGGATAATTAAGTGAAATACTAAAATAGATTAGGAAGCAGGTTTTGTCAACAAGTGGGGGAAAAAGGAGACTGTTTTATCTTTGTCATGTCTACTAATAAAGACTGACAAAAGAGAATTTTCCTCTTCAGTAAAAAGTGGTGAGGAAAAAGAATTTCTCAAAAATAAGGTAGAAAAATCAGAGAAAGACAAAAGCTAGAAAAATATTGTTACTGAGAAAGAAAACAGTTGAGGAAGTAATGATCATGGGGGGAGTGGTAGTGCAAAAGTGTTTTATAACAAAGCGAAAGACCGTTTCTTTTTGCTGTTGTAATTGATATTTCTTTGGCTGATTTCTGGCTCAAAACAGAATAGAGAGATGAGGTTGGTTAGATGATAGATAGTAGATAGATGCTAGTTTATCGCATCTTTGGTAACTTGGTTGAGATTTTGGAATTAAACAATTCAAATTTTCTTGGTGCTGCCTGTTTTATTTAGGCCATTTCTTCCCTGTGTATCCTGATGTGTCTCTGGAACGGACACAGTGTGGCTGTGTCTCAGTGTAAGGCTGTACCCTATCTTCTACATAGATGCTCTTTCCATATGTAGAATTGATGTGAGGGAGAACCCACCAGCTTGCTTGAAGAACAGTCTTTTGCTGCAGAAAAACACAAAAATAATTGTAAGGTAACAGGACTCTCTTTTAAAAAACTGTTTAAACTGCTGTTTATGAATGCTGTTACTGTTCAGCATTCTGGATACCTTAAAATATTCCTATCAGGGAAGACTTTTCAATCCTTCCACAGGGGTGCTCTTGGAAAGAATCAGGTTCTTTTCCCTTCCCACTTAAATGCACACCATAGAATTTGTTAGAATGAGAAAAAAATGTTGAGGTGAATAGTTCCTACATCCTTCTAACCTCAGAAATTAATGAGGTTAAGCTTTCAGTAGTATAATAAAGTGATGAACTTATTTTCTGTTGATTCATCAAGGCATCAGCCCTTACTAACATGGAAGAAGGTAACTGGTTGAAATGCTAAGTTAAAGTGGTAAAACCCCACTCATACCTGTATAGAGATAGATTAATAAACTGATTCTGTAAAATGTTTCATATCTGGTGCAATTTTCCTGTAGAAGCAGCTCCTGTACCCTCTTCCAGCTGGAGAGAGGTCACATTGTGTCTTGTTCAAGTGCCAAAAGAAGCAAGTATTCTTCCAAATCACTGCATACTGAGCAGTGCATACTGAACAGTGGTGAAGGTTTCATATACTTGCATCAATTGACTGTAATACTATTAAAAATAAATAACTGTCATTCTTTCTAGCTAGTGAAGAATATGGTGATTATCTTGAATGTAACCAAAATGAATCTAATGAATATGGTGTATATCTTGAATCTAACCAATATTACTGACTAACCAGTAATTTCACTGAAGGGAAGACTGTGAGTTATTCAGGAGCTTTTATCCAGAAAGTTTATGTGTGTGAGCTCAAAAGTATCTTCTACCACTTTTTACATTGCTTTATAAAATGATGATACACAGAATTAGTTGTATGAATATTGAAATAAATAAGGAATGCTAAATAATTTTTACTTTTTAGACCTCTGTAATATCATCTCAGTGTAGAGCCAGTAAGCTTGGCCAGGCCAGGCTGGAGTTGGGTAGTGCAATTGATAAAAACGAATTAATAAAACCATTGGACCATGAGCCTGTGAGAAGGCAAGTTTCTGCTGCTGTGCTACAGGCATAAAGGAAGTATTTTCTCAAATACCATTTCCATTTTGTTAAGTGTTTTGCAAGGGAAGCACCATGCTGTAGTTCACATTATATTTTATGATTTTCTTCTTGGGACAGGTATAAGGAATGAGATAGTTTAAGTGTGCAATTAAACTCAGTTGTATATGCAACTACAGATGTTTATGCAAATAGTCATCTTTTATTTATGTGTGGGTTTTGGGTTCTTTAATTTTTATTTACAACATGGCTATCATTTTCCCCCACATACAATTCCTCTCCTTTATGACACGTGGGCTGTTTCTGAAAGCACTAATGCTGTGATAAGCAGAGAAGGAAATAATCGTGGGATGCATGATTCAAGGGTATTTTGCTTTCTGAAGACTTGTACAACCTTTTTTCTTCGGAAATACATGTATACTTTTATGAAGCTATGAAAATGAAAGTCAGTAAACGTGTTGGTCTTCTTCTGTATGTTGACTCAAGAGAAGTCCTGGCTGAGTTATAAATCCTTAAAATGATGACCCATTAGAAGACTAACTCGAATTTTATTCAGTGGAGGGGTTACTGAAAGTATCAGCTGTGATTGTACAGGAATAGTGACTCTGTATGTGAATGTGTGTATAATGTCATTTGCATTTTAAATGTGTCTAGAAGCATCTCGGGGGCATCTTGTTTTCTTCCATTTTAAAAATCTGAATAGCACCTGCAATTAAGGGAGAAAACTGAGCCCTGGAAGCTAGGTAGGACTTCCATCTATTGATCTGTGTAAACCCGGCTTAGGCTGTCAGGGGAGAAGCAGTCAACTGCTGAGCTGCTTTGTCACTGACATAAGCTGAGAGAGGGTTTTTTTTGTGTGTCTATACTGTTTATACACCAGTCTATAGACCTGCTGGCTGGTTGAATTTTAAAGAGCGTGGAGGTTTAAAGACTTGTCCCCTGAGGGATGCTCCTGCCAGTTGGGAAGCGAGCTGAGGCTGCTCTGCAGAAGTTGTGTGCACGTGTGTTGGCTGGGGGAGGGACAGGGAAATGTGGTCCTGCAGCTCAGCCCGCAAAACACTGCAAAACATACCGGCAATTTTCAGGTTGTTTAGTCAAAATATTGAACTAATACGTTTGGGTTTTATTTTGTTTTTATTTTCTTTCTCTTGTGTGATAATTTATTCTAAGAGAATACAATGGGGAACATAAGTGAATACATTTCCATACCAAATTCTGAGTCAGTGCTAAGCTCACCAGGCAGCAATTAAAATCCTCAGTAGCAAGGAGAAAATGACTTCCTGTAGTGTGAGAATAGGTGGAGATGTGGAAGGAGAATTTAAGTAGAGTATAAAATACTGCTTATTTGGAATGGGAAAAAAGCAAGCTTTGTGAGCCTGAAGTGCGAGACAATTTGGACAAGCTTAGGAAATTTCTGAGTTAAAAGTTCTGGTTAGCATGTTCTGCTTGCTTTCTTTTGTCAGAAGCTTTTATTACTACTACCAGCATCCTGCATGCTTGCTTCCTGCCACAGAAATTAAAATGTTTACCTGCCCTGTTTGTATTTTGTCCTTTACCCTTCTGCAATGGCCATTCACAGCAGTCAGAATGATGCTTGAGGTGTTCTTTTGGAGTATATTATATGTACTGCTGTTGTTAATATTTAATAACCTTTCCCCAAAAATTACATGTGGCTTTGATGCCCTTCTTTATCTGTGCTGACAAAGTAAAAGTTACAAAGATTTCTTGAACTCCCTTGTATGACTTACAAATCCTAGAAAAGTTGACTTTTCCCTTTTGTACTATACAGTGATTTACTGGGGCACATCGTATACCTTTTAAATGTTGCAAGAAACACACGCTTGTTGGACTCAGAAGCAGCTTTTTCCTGAGCTGTTCGTCCCTTGCTGATTAATTTGCATGGGTTCTTCATGTTTTACACTATCCACTGAGCCAGGGAAATGTTTGAAGTAAATAGTCATTGTGGTGTGTAGGAATTTAAATACATAATTTTCCCTAATGGGAGTAGACTGTTCAACATGCAGTAAACAGAGAGCTCACGCTGGAGAGTGCTAACATCTTAGATCAAGTTCCTAAATCCCCATGTGCAGCTCTGGAAATTTGCAATCAATATGCATCTTTCTGAAAGCACACACCTTGCAGAATAACTCATGTATATACAGCAGTATATGTCTGTTAGTCCGCTACAGAAAGGGAATTCTGTAGCTTTGACCGGCTACGTTGATGTTGACTATCTCTTCTTAGCTGAAGCACTTCACAGAGGGTTTGTTTTCCCAGCTGGGAGCACAGAAATACAACCTGTATTTTTTTTCTGGGATCTTGCAAAGTTGCTGTTTAATATTGGCTGCTAAGAACTGATCTGGTAATCCACTTCTTTTTTTTAAATAAAGAAAAATGTTGACTGGTATGAGAGCATTTTTATATTTTAATTAACACATTTTATTTGCCACTAAACAGCTTCTGAAATAAAAATCTGCAAGAAAGAGTAACATTATCCTTTCATATTATGGTACAGATGTCGATCCGGTGGATTTCCCCCCTTCCCTTTATTAATAGCAAGGCTTGCTTGTGAAACCCAAAGGGTTAATCATACAAATTTCTCCTTTGGACCAGCAGATGATTTCCATCATTTTCAGCATTTGACTATGGAACATGTATAGAGTTGTTATACCTCTCTGTAATTCATTCTGCTGCCAACTTCATTCCCTTTTCTCTGCCTGCATTTTAATTGAAACAACATTTGTATTTTTGAGCCAGGATCTGTCAGAAGTCCCTGTGGCTAGTCTGTGGTACAAGTAGCAGCAGACGTGGCTTACCCATATGGTGTGGTGCTTCTTGTAAAATCCATATGGCCTTGTTGAAGGGAATCCCAGCGGGGATGTGAAGGGTGTTAATACCCTTCAGGCCAGGCCTTTCCCTCCTGGGGCTTCTATGGCATTGTCTTTGCAATCTGCCAAAGCACAAACTTAATTCCTTTTTAATAATCAATTATTTCAGTCCAGGAACGTGTGCTGTATATTTTGCAATCATATATTCCTTGAACTTATTATTTGTTATGAGTATTTTTGCATATTTTTTAAAAGCAAGCTGTAGTTTCTAGCAACTGCCCTAAAAGCATTTCAAAAACCTTTTCAAAAAGCCTAACTTTCTTTAACTTGTGTTTACAGGAAGTGCTGAACAGCATTCCAAAGTTCTGCTTTCCTTTCGACGTTGAAAGGTATGTGTTACAGTTAGCGTTTACTTAAAAATATACCATAGAAATCAATATTTAGTGTAATTGCAAGGGAAGATGTAAAGAAAAGGAAAACATATTGTACCCCCTGAACTTGCACCTGCAGACGTACGTCCTTTGTTGTTCAAGTAAGTCTGAAATCAATAGTAAGAAATTATCACAGCAAAATGCAACCTTTACAGAATTTTGGGGATATCTCTTTTGAGGCAGATCCATGTTCCGGCTCCCAGTTTTGTCCATTATAATTGTAAACACCATCTGTGTTAATATAAGGATATAACTTAAGTTTCCTTCAAAGAGCAAGCATCTTAAAAAAAGTTAAAATTACCTCACTGAGCAGTGCTGCAAACATGTTGTTTGAGTTCAAAGGAATGAAGACTTTAATTCCATGGAAGTAACTGAATATGCAGTTCATTTTTCTCAAAGAATCAAGACTATTATTTATAATTAATTAGCCCTTACCTTTGTCCTATCAGTTATAATGTGGCTTCCATGTAATGCTGTCAGTCATGTAAATTGTTCATATAAAACATTTTTATTAATAAAATATTTATTTAGGCTTGTCAAAATGAGTAATGGAAATGAAGTTAATAAATTGTACTCAGTTTGAAAAACTCATATTGTCTGGATAAGCAAAGATTGAATTAGAAGCTTGATTTGCATAATTAATGGAAGATATGCCCAAGTAGTTTGCAGGCTGAGCTGGTTTCAGAAAAACATTGGCATCAGTTGTAAATGGAGACTCAAAAGATGAAAAGGATCTACTGGATGCAAGAAGCTGCTATCAGTGGAGTAAAAGATAGTGTCTGTATAGAGGCAAGAGGAGAGGCTTAGTAGAAAAACACTGTCGGAATAGATCTTCAGAAACACAACTTCCCTGAAGTAGGTCCACTTGGTCTTTTATAGTTGAATTTAATTAAGTTGTTTGGGTTTTGAACTGGTTTAAGCTCACTGTCCTTTAAGCTGTTTTAATCACTCAACTAATACGGTTGTCAGTGTTAGCTTTAAAGCATTAAAGTCTTTAATGTGCTTAAGATATGTACCGAATTCTGTTTAAATTGGTAATGGAGAAAAATAACGGCAATAAAATTTGAGGATAACAGAAAAAGGTGAGGCTCTGTTGCTGCCATCCAGTGGCAAGAAGATAACCAGTGGCAGCAAACACTTTCAAATAACTCATCTTGCATTAATTATTTCTGTTGAACCATTCATAAGAAGGTTGCTTGTATGAGATGGATAAGCTTAATCAATAAACTGTGGAAATATGTGAATTTATAGCATAGCTAGGTTTGTATTTTAGCTGGATATCTGAAAGCGGGGGGGGGGTGGGGAGAAAGAAAAACTTATGGGATGTTTGTTATTAGTTTATTAATCCTATCCCGTGCCCCCTTCCCCAGACATGCTTTTTGACTCTTGGCCTCAAACTTGACTGTAAAGCAGTGCTCCCAAAAGTGCAAAACTTCTACGTATTTCATAAAAATTGGCAGTCAGACAGAAGGAGGAGAGGTTCTTGGAAGCTGAGATATACTGATGAGGGCAACAAAATCTGTTGTATTTGGTCTGGCCTGCCAACCGCTCAGGCAGTAAGTACTGTGGTATCTTTAAAATCAGCCAGGGCACTTGCAGCTTCTTGCGTAACTGGAAACTGAGTTCTAGGGGACTTATGGGAGAACCAAAGGCAATGTGGGATCATGAGAGTATAAAAGAGCGCAGACAAGGAGGAGGAGCAGAGCTATTGTGGGACAGATACGCTGGAAGCTCATTCAAGACAGAAGACAACTGTTTACTATCATGCTATTTGTGTGAATGACTTCCTGGCTGTGTGGTGTATTTGCTACTTACTACTCAGTTCAAGCATGTTCTGTAATGTGGAGATACGTTTCCACTTTTTAAGAAGAAAAGCAGTTGTCTTCTGTGTTAGCAGTTTTTTGTTTTGAAGTTTGGACTGATAATGAAAAGGATTGAGAAGAACACTGCTAAAGCTCCTTTTCATACTGCCTTTTTTCCAAAGGATGATTAAGATGTGACAAGCATTTTAATTTTTGTATACCCATAAAAGTGCTTTTCATTTCTCTGGTGATGGACCTCGGTCATGATAGACCATACATCTGATACCTCCAAGTACCTTACAAGCAGTTTCAATGAATCAAGAAAGTTTTGATTGAAGTGAAACACAAAGTATCTGTATTGTTGGTTGAGCATTTTGTACTTTAGAGAGCATAGTTTCTCAATCTGTTTTTCGTGAACTGTACACATAGAAACCACTTCAAACAGTATCCAGTCCTTGTAAGAGTTAGAAATTACCAGTGCAAAAGTGATAACTTCCACTGATGCTAATAAGATACCTAGAATAAAAAATGTGACTCTGTTCCATAGATTGCTTCTGGGTTCCTCGTATAGGAAGAGCTGGAGGGAATGGTGTGTCTTTTCTATTAACTAGCTAAATAAAACTCATTGAAGTAGGAAATCTCTATTCTTCAAATTATGGAAATAGGAAAGTTAAAGCACCACTAAAGCAGAGTGGTAAGATCATCATCACCTGTTTTCTTCCAAATCACCTGTATTAATTAGTGAACGAAATGAGAGCATGTATTTGATTTTGTTTCATTCACTATGCTACAGTGATCATAGACAGAGGTCCAGATTTAGTTCTCACTATTTGGTGCTGCTCACATAATCTCTCCAGCCATACTTACTTTATCTCTTATGCAGATGTTGTAATTAACTGTACACTACTTGTTCTAATTATCAAAATTGGGTTCTGTGAAAGGTGATTAAAAATCTAGAGGTAACTCCCATTAGATTTAAACTGAAAGTCAAGCCAGAAAAGGTACAATAGTGTAGTGTTTTGACCATGACTTAAACTTTTAGCTTTTCATATATATATATGTATATATGAAAAATAGCACATAATTTCATTACTGCTGGTTATGGCTTTTTATTTTGAAGTGGCTAAAAAATTAGTTGCACCATAGAAGTTCTTGAGCCTTTTCTTCAAGAGCTTATGAGGTCTTTTTGTGAATAAATTAGTTTAGGCCTAATAAATGGCAAAATCAAATAATATTTTAAAAGTTTGCTTGTAGATATTTACAAATAAGTTCCCTTTCTTTGCCACAGAATGAATGTCTCTGTTACTTTTTGTATGGAACTGGAAGAGTTAACATTTGAGAGCCTAGAGATTTTAATTTCCTTTTAATATTTGCTAAATTAGTATTACTACCTCAGAAGAAGCACTTTGTCCTCTCTCTTTTTCTTTGAACCCTTCATGTAAATTCTGCATGGTTTTCTTCACTTTTTCTTTCTCCAGAGGTCCTAAGTTTTTTAACTCTTGACCCAAAACTGAGTTGTAACTTTGCAGAGAGCCCATACCTCATGTCTGCGTCTGACAGTTATTTTAGCTGGGTGATGATTAGTGAGCATGCATCTTCTCCTCTTGTTCCTTCTAACTCATGCAGAACTAGTTCCAAGGAGAAAAGACAACGTAGAAAGAATTGCGCCCTGCCTATACCACCCAAGGAGACCTCTGGCTGTGCTTTTTGCAGCAGGATTTGCCTATCTCACATTGGCCTTTTTAGTCATCAGTGCACTTTTAGTAAGTGTGGGTAAAGCCCTTCCCAAATCTTCATTCGCGAAGTCAAGCCGTGATGTTCCTTCTGGACCCATGACAATTTCAGTCCAGGGTTGTAGTACGTCACTGCTCAATTTGATCTGTGCTTTGAATCTCTCATATGTCTCTGCCATAAATACTTCCCTTCCTCTGTCTTTTCCCTTTAAGGGCGCATTTCTTTGGCAGAATGTGTAGCACACATGCCATTTGAGCTAAGACTTTGGAAACTGCCTTTAGGATCAGCATGGAGACAATGATACGTACCTCATTAATTTCCTCTATGGTGCTCACTCAATCACAGGGAAGTGTTATATTTTGGAGTGTAAGAAGTGCTGCTGCTGCTGCAGATTACTCATTAGCAGTAGAATATTGCTCAAGTATGGGAATTACTGTGCATATTATTTAACTCATAATCTGTTAGGGTCAGTGAGTGATGATGGCAGGAATGACATCACTTTCACTCCTGTTCCTGGCTGATACTGTTTTTGTTGATTGTTTCTGGTGAAAGTCTGTATTTAGAATCAGCTATGATCAAGACAAGTGGAAAACAATGGCTGTGGAGATCAGTGGATTTGTAGATCTTGTGAAAAGCAATTATAAGATATCATACACAAAATTTTTTACACAAAAATTTTTGCCTTCAAAGTGAATAGTTGAGAATGAAAAGTAAATAATTGAGAATGTAATTCAAGCTGAATGGATAAATGTAAATAAACTGTAGTGTTCCCTGTATACTTCAGTCATTCCAGTCAGTTTGCAAAACAGATTGTGAACTCAAAAATGCAGCAGCAGTATTATACAAGTGAGTTTTTTCCATCTTTTGTCTCATTGTATTATGGTATGTTAGTGCGTAATATAAAATGTATGTGTAAGAGAAGTCTTTGTAAGGACAGGTTGCAGTATGCACTGTGCGCAGTGCAAGACTGTGACTGTTGGTTTCGAATGTGGGTTTTTTTGTTTTCTACTTGTGTGCAGAAGTGGACCTGTTTGAGAGGGAACCTGGGCACCCAGAGGGAGCCACGGTGTGCTCTGATACATCCTTGGCCAGGTACAATGGCCAGGGCCTGTGGACAGATTAGGCTTCTGTTGCAACTTAAAGGCACCCAGTGAGACTCTACTACTTGTGGTTTCCTTTAATGCTTCCATTGTGTTGAAAACAGGACCCCAATTATAAGCTAACTGCTTTTTATTTGTGGGAATTTTCTTACTTGGTGGTAGCTTTGAGCATTTTCATATCTTCTGTGGTTTTCTTCCCATTCCTGTTTTTTTCTGATGTTTAAGGATTTGGAGTTTCTGAGAAGTGGAGCTCAAGTTAGCTCAGTTAGAGCACAGGGAGCCTGAGTAGTGGAGTCATGGATCGTGGAGTGGGCTTGGAAGT